TTCCAACCATTTCCTTTCCTCCTTTTCTTCCTTCTTTCATGGCCAGATCTAATAAGGGAAAGAAATGGGTATGCATGCTGGTTCAAAGGATGTCTCCCCTCCTAGCAGTTTGCACACCAATATCCCTTAGTCCTTTAGATGTTTTTGCTTGAAACTTGTTCTTTGCCCATGTACTGGAGCCTCCCAGCAGCTCACATACAAGGGCAGCTTTGGCTTTTGTCGTGGCTTTTATCTCCAGCCATGTGCTGGAGATTGCAGATATTTATCTTGGCTGTGTGAGCTTTTTTAAGGTGATGCTCTGGCCAACTAAGGGAATGGGCCAACTTTTCCAAGTGATGGGCTATTTTATTGAGGTAATGAGCTAATTTCTCTAGGATATTGGGCTATTTTCTTTCTCTCATTTATGCTCATCCACATGTTTGGGCCTAAAAATGTGCTTGAGTTCCGAGGCTCCCAAGCAACCCGGAATTTCCATTTCTCGGCCATTAATGAGCCTCATGACAACTTATTACCATCCATACCACAACCCACTCAAGTAAGCCCCGGGCATTTGCATGGCTTGGGCCCACTTAAGCTTGTAGCGTGGCTAGGTGTAATAATAATGATTTTCTCTTGGCATTGCATGTCGCTTGGCGTGCTTGAATTTTGTCGTCTTTGCAAAGGGATATGATGCTTAACTAGATAATTAGCTTGGGCTCGTAGAGCCAATGCATTTTATAGGCTATAGCGCGACAGATTGCATATTTATTTCGTATGGCACATGGTCGTGGCTCGTGCAAGCGTGCATGACGAATTTCGCGTGCTCCGAACCGGGTCTTTTCTTATTATGGTGTCGCACTGGGCCGGGAATTTATTTGGGCCCAACCCTGGATTTTTTGGGCCTCAACAGCATGCAAAATATTAGCTAAGTGTCTTATTTTTATTGGCAAAGTGTTTTGCTAAAGGGTGAAGAAAACACTTAAGTGTGGGCAACTGCCCACAGTAGGCATGTATTGGGTCCGCCATACATATAAATCTAGCAAATAAAACAACACATTGTGAAGTGATATACGGTTCATTTTTTATTGTCACTAGTTGACTAGCAAATAGTGCACAATGAAAGGGCTTGTCCTCAACAGCATGCAAAATATTAGCTAAGTGTCTTATTTTTATTGGCAAAGTGTTTTGCTAAAGGGTGAAGAAAACACTTAAGTGTGGGCAACTGCCCACAGTAGGCATGTATTGGGTCCGCCATACATATAAATCTAGCAAATAAAACAACACATTGTGAAGTGATATACGGTTCATTTTTTATTGTCACTAGTTGACTAGCAAATAGTGCACAATGAAAGGCCTTGTGCAAAGGTGGATAGATTAAAGGACAAGAGGGGTCGCTTGACCACATGAACTTGTCGGAAACATGGCTATGGAGGTTTGAGCAACCTCTATGGTGAGCAGAACAATGACCCCAAGATGCACGCAAGGTGCTCGATGAAAGGCCACAAAGGCCCAGCTCTAGGTGCTAAATGCTAGGCAATTTTTTTTAAAAACTTCCTAACCAAAACGACGTCGTTTTGGTCCAAGAGGTTTCAAATTTGTTTAATGACATGGCATCAAAACGGCTTCGTTTTGAGACAGGCTTAAATAATAAATAAAAAAACCCAAAACCCCTTTTATCTATCTAAACCAGAGTCATCACCCAAACCCCCAAATCCCAAATTAGTTTCACAGTTTTACTCCTTCATAAATTAAACCAATCCGAACCCCTCATTCTCACACACACCACCACCACTCTACTACTGTCGTCGCCGCCGACTACCCTTGAGTTGCTTGCTTGCCTTGCCTTGCCTCTCATCATTTCAAGTTTCAAGTGAGTGGAAGAATTTATATTTTTAATGAAATTGATATATGTAGTGTTTTTTTTTATGGATTATAAGAATTTATTGATATTGATTGTTATTTGGATTAAAGTATAATCTAATTGATTGAAATTGATACTTTTATTGATATTGTTATTGATATATAGCACACAAACAAGTTGTTCTTTGCTTCAATTGAAGAAACACTTGCTCAAAATTCAGGTTTTATTGTTCCTTCATCCTTGTTTATTAGTTAAATTATTGCTCTAATTTTTAGTTGATCTATTATTATTGTTTCTAGCCTTATTATATGTTGATGTGGTTTTTGAGATTTTTATCTGGAAATTAAAAAGACATAGAAAGAAAAGGAAGAAGAGCTTGCTCAAAGTCTAAGAATAGGATCTTTGAATAAATATTTTTTTTAAACAAACAATGCTTCCCTTGAAAATGAACAAACAGGAAGATACGCTCTTTTTCATTTGGTTTAAATTATGTATTTGTTGTTGGGTTTTATTATATATCTGTTGTATTTGCTTTGAATTCTATGGAAGTCCAACCAAAAAAAGGGCTCAAAGGGAAAATCCAAAAAATTGAATCTATCCTAGGCAGTGAATATTAACAAAACTTATAATTTTAGTGATGAATTTATCTATAAAAGGGTTCTCAAAAAAAAAAATTCTTCAAAAAAATGTGTCTATAAACAGAGGGTTTCTAGGGTAGCTTGGGGTTGATGGTATAATATTAGTGTGTGTGTGTGTTTTTTATTATTATTTAATTTATTATTAATTTTACATTTAAAAAAATAATTGGATAGGAAATTACTCATTTGTTCTAAAAATGCCTCAACAGTTTAGATTTTTTTTTTTTTACACTTTTACACTGTGACCTTATGACCCGAGAATCCTAAATCCACCACTGACCGTGTGAGCACTCAAATGTTACTTATGATTCACAACATTTGATTACTTCGTGTAAACATAACAATTATGAACTTATATTATCTTTTTTTTGGGTAAAGTATATTCTCTCTTTTTTATGGCATGTATATATGTTAATAATTAACACTCCCTAATGAGGAACAAATACATAAGCAAAATAAAGTTATATACATGTTTGTTTTTATGTTAATGTCATTTGGTTACATTATGTTACTAAATGACAATGACATGTTTTTAACTTTTGACCACCTAAAAAAAAAAACCTAGTTTTCGATCGACCATCAATTAAAACTTGGACAAAGAACATATATTTTTGCAGCCAAATCAATTGATAGTTGTTAAAGATCATTTCGAATTCCCTTATTAATACTTATAATATCCCTTAGTTGTATGATTAAGTTACCATCATTTCGAAATCATTCAACCTTGAATGATAAAGCAAAAATAATACGGAATTTGCCCTTTCATTTATTTATGTGTTGATTTCATATGGTTATTTATGTGTTGCAAAATAATACCTATTCATTACTTCCCCGATTCATTGTAAATAAACGGCCCCTAAACTATGTGAAAAATGCTATTTGGGCAAGTGATGTAGGCTGATGTTAGGATTAAAATAGGTCAAATGTTAAATTATTTACAATATAATGAAAAAGTTTACTACCAAATCATCTATGTTTCCAAATAATTGTAAAACTTATATTATCATAATTCAGTTAATTACAAATAAACAAAAGATTCTTGGAAATTTTATAAGCAATGATCCAAAAAGAGAAAGACAAAAGCAGCGGAATTAAAAGGGTTCAAGAAAAGAAAGTGGTCATTCATACAATAAAAATAAAATGATATGATTAAAAGTGATTAAGAGCTTGTTTGGAAGTGATTCTGGATAGGCCAATAATCACTTCTATGGAGAATTACTTTAAGTGATTTTAAGTGATTTTATAGATAATCATATAGAATGTGCTTCCCCCCATAATCACTTAAAATCATTTAAAGAGATTCTATAGAGAAGCACATAGGAAATGCTTTTTCTCTATAAGTGATTCTGGTTCTCCAAAAATCGCACTCCCAAACAAGCTATAAGAATATCAAAAGGATAAAAGAATGTTTTAAAGATGTGAAATTTAAAAATAGAATTGAATAAAACAATTAATAAAAAAAAACTATGGCTTCAAAGAAAGAAGCTTTGTGAGGACACCACGTTGTTGTACCAAAATAAAATTATTACTAAAATTATTCCGACCAAAAAAAAAAAAAAAAAAAAGAAAAAAAAAAAGTGGTAAGACAAAAAGTTACAAGTGGTGGCTTCTACATGATTGAGCTGGACCCCTCAATCCCCAAAATTATATATATATAGCAAAAGATAGAGAATGATGAAACATGCAAAATACCAGAAAATGTCATTGGTTAATTCAAACATTAAGAATTGAAATTAATAATTAAATGAGAATAATATGGTAAATTCACATTTTTTTCATATTAAAAACAAAAACAAAAACAAAATCAGATAATAGTTCATACTTTTATGGAATATAATTACCTATGTTATTTTTTCTTAATTCTAAAAAAAAAAAAAAAAAAATCAATTGGCACATGCGTGGGCCTAGTAAATATATAATGAAAAAAAGACTTGACCCCTGGGCCCATCCAATATGTGAATCAGATGCTAGGACAGGAATAGGATAGAAGAATAGGACAAGCGCAAAACGGTGCGTGTCTCTCTGCTTTCTCACACAGTCCAATTTTGGACACTTTTGGCAAAGCCCAAATAGTTATACTGAATTTAGTTTTGAGTCATTTCGCTATCGAAAATGGGCGGTCCAAAATTTTCGGGCTGATGGCTTCTAGGCGTTGACTGCGGACTGGTGGCCGGTGGCCTATCAAGTACGACTCTTTTGTACAAATGATATGGGGAATTCTAACACTAGACATTGGGTTGGAAAGATTACTGCGGATTCAAATTCGGGTGTAGAATGAAGAGTAAATTCGCCATAATCAATTTGACTAAGCTCATATCTGTTGCTCTTTACCATTTAAACATGCATCAAAGCTAACCTTTTTCAATTTTTTTAAACAATATTTTGCATTAATTAAACATAAACTGCATGAATATTTTGCATTAATTGATGACGTGATTTTATAATTTCATTAAACCCACGTGAGAGATTTGAGATAACTCTTGATTTCTCGGATATTTTTCATAAAATTTTATCAGATTACGGCTTAATCTTATCCCTCATCAGTATTTGACAAAAGGCAATTATTGATCCTGAGCAAAGCACGGGAAGACGAAACGTGGTCGTTTTGTGCATTTGGGGAAAAACGGCGGCGTTTCGTGGCCTTCATCCATTCCTTGGCAACATCACTTTCTCCTTTCGGCTGTGTCCTCACAGTCGTTAAGAACCCACCCTAGTAAAGGTCTCAAACCACGTTCTTCCCCAGACCCATCTCTCTCTATATCTCTGGGTCCGTTGACCTAGAAGTTTTATTCGCGGAAGACCAAATCACTGTTTTCAAGTCCCAGATCTGTTAATCTCAGGCCTGAATTCCACAAATCAAAGGTCAGATCTTTAACTTACTCGGAGTTTCTTCTCCAATCGCTTTGCTTTACAGGGTCCTGCCTTGTACCACAGCTAAGTGCTGTTGTTCGTCGCTGATTTATGGTTTTCTTATCGCTTTCGTTTCAGATCTCAGTGGAATCACAAAGTCGCTGTCGTTTTGGTGCTCAATCCGTAAGATCCAGTTCAGGTTCTGAGGTTCTTGACTGCTTGTTAATCCTTTATTGTAAACCTGTTGGGTTTGTTCTAGATCTGGTTGGAGCGTTAAAACGCCGTCGTTTTGGACTGAACCAAGTTGGGGTTTTCTCTTTTGGGAGTTCAAGACTCTTTAGGCTTTGCTTACAGATCTGGGTTTAATAGTATTTATCGTCCTGTTGCTTGATTTGATAAATTGGAAATGTCGATTTTACCGAAAGGGGATTCGATTCAAATCCGAGAAGTGTGGAATGATAATCTTGATGAAGAGTTTGCTATAATCCGTGAGATTGTTGAGACGTATAATTATGTTGCTATGGACACCGAGTTCCCCGGCGTGGTTCTTCGCCCGGTGGGGGCCTTCAAGAACATCAATGATTATAACTACCAGACCCTGAAAGACAATGTCGATATGTTGAAATTGATTCAATTGGGTCTCACTTTCTCTGACAAGAATGGTAAACTTCCCGATCTCGATACCCAGAACCAATACATTTGGCAATTCAATTTCCGTGAGTTCAATGTAAGCGAAGACATCTTCGCTAGCGATTCGATTGAGTTGCTGCGCCAATGTGGGATTGATTTCAAGAAGAACAATGAGAAGGGAATTGATGTGAAGCGGTTTGGTGAGCTTTTGGTGTCTTCAGGGGTTGTATTGAATGCTGAAGTGCATTGGGTTACTTTTCATAGTGGATATGACTTTGGATACTTGCTTAAGCTATTGACTGGTCTGAGTTTGCCCGACTCCCAAGCGGGTTTCTTTGAATTGATCAAGGCCTTCTTCCCAGTGGTGTATGATATCAAGCATTTGATGAAGTTCTGCAATAGCCTTCATGGTGGGTTGAACAAGCTTGCAGAATTGTTGGAGGTGGAAAGAGTTGGTGTGTGCCATCAAGCAGGCTCAGACAGTTTGCTTACAGCTTGTACGTTTAGGAAATTGAGGGATACCTTTTTCGGTGGCACAGCTGAGAAATATGCTGGTGTATTGTATGGTCTCGGTGTTGAGAATGGACAGAGTACTAATTGAAAGAAAATAATTGTCAAAAGATTGATGGATATTTGTAGACTATTTGAGTGTGAGACATGGTAGTTTTCTCTGTACACTTTCGCAAAAGAATTGTTGTTTTAGTTTTAACTTTTTCCTCTTTGCTTGCTTGTAACAGAAACCTTAACTGGTTATGTAGCTCCGAGTTTCTTGTATATTATTGCAGTTAGTGTTTCAATAAAAGTTCATGACGTTTTCTTTTAATGCGTTTTGTTCCTCACTAATTTGACTTGACTTTAGTGCTCTATTGCTCCTTTGTCATCAGCATCATAATTTGCTTCGTTCTTGGGAGCAGCAGATCGATGCATTCTTGTTCTATCTCTAACATTTTTGAACTTCATAGAAGTTAAACAGTTATTTGATTGCTTATTGGATACCATATATAGATGTGCTACTTATTCTTTGATCAATCATCAGTTGTTTTGTATTTAGCTATTTATGTACGTTTTGGGGGCAGAGGTGTTCACTTATGGCTGCTGGGTTTAGTTTAGAGCTACAGGTATAGTCTGTTTGTGAATCTGAATGAGAGATGCCTTGGAAAAGAAAGGGAGTCCTTGTCTTAGTGATGTTTATCTTACGCACAATGATGTTGTAGCTGGAGATTTTTCCTTTCATCTGCTCAAGATTGCTTTTATCATGTCATTTCCTTTAATGAATGGAACTTTGTTCAGTGTTAGTGTCTTATGCTACTTGTAACTTTGTAATTCCATTTGTCACAAACCTATTTCCATGATTTTGAAAGGGCGATGCCGCCGCGTTGAATCTTGTTGAAGGAATCACCAATTTTATGAAGTTTGGACAGAGTAGTGACAGTGGGCATGAATGGGAGGAAGCTTGCAGAAGCAGCAGCTACACTATCACTCGTCTATGGGAATCAGCTGTAAGACTGTTCTGTTATTGTCATCGTCTGTTGCTGAGCATACAGTATGACAATGCAGTTCATCATCATTCTTAAACTAGAATCCCAAGTGTATAAAAAGAGTGACCGCATAAATTATATTTTTCAGATGTTCTAGTTATCTGAGTTTGCATAGTGTTCTAGATTATATCAGTCGTCTGTAACATTCTGGCTCTCAAGCTTTTGGAATCAGCAGAACTCAATTCTTGAGTTGCACTTTAAAATTTGATCTGATATTATTATTTCTTGTTTTATTTTTATTTTCTGGCCTGCAGGCTGCAGTTGTATCTATCTGTCTGTGTTGCATAAACAAATCAACAGTGCGACTTGTCCACCAAAAAAAAAAAAAACACACATTTAGTTTAGTAACCATGAGGAAGCGTCTCCTTTGCCGATTGGCTAGTCCCATTGTCTACGTCGGGCGGCGTTGACGATGTTCAGAGGGGCTGCTTCCACCGTAACATCCTGCGAAAATCTTTGGATATTTTGGCATTTCCGAGGTTTTTTTAAAATTCCTTTTTCTTTTTCCGTTTTTCCCCGACGAAGACCCAAAATTCAGCTGCAATGTTCCATATAAGCAATTGGGTTTCATTTTGTTGGGAATTTAGTGTTACAATGTCCGTACACTTCTTTCCAATGTCAAACTATATTCTTTTACGAATTAATTTAGTGTATATTTATATAAAGAACGAAATAACAATCATAAATACGTAAAAAACAATTTTTCTAAAGAAATAGAAAACACCTGGCACACTCTATTTTGTTTCGGATCCAAAAAGAGAAAAAAAGAAAAAAAGTTGTTCCTTGAAATTGAATCAATAAAGAACGTGGCAAACCGCTTTTTGAAAAGCTCACGCACGTCGAGCTCTCTCGGTCTTCTGTTCCAGCCGACCGAGTCACCCCATTTTCCTCTCTCCTTACTCTTTTCACCCAACAGAAAGAAAGCACACAGCTCATCGACGGCAAGCCTCACATCCGCTTTCTCCGACCACCACCAGGTGATTTTATCATCTCCCTCCTCCGCCCTCTCTCTATCCCTTTTTAATCTCTGAATTCATATTAAGAATAGAACCAGTGATTCGGATCCAAACCCACACACAAAAAAGATCCGATCGGATCCGGATCTCGCACCCCTCATGCCTCGCAAACCCAACATCCTAGGGTTTCTCTTCAGCCTCTTCTTCCTCACATTCTGCCATGCCGATCCGGGTTCCAATTGCCCCAAGACCAGCCCTCTCGTCAACTCCGAGTCCGAATTCAAAATGGTACAGCACCAGCTCCGAGGCTCAATTAAGATAATCGACGATTGCTCCTTCAAAGTCTCCGATTTCGACATGCTCCCCGGCTCCGACGTCCACTGGTGGGGCGCCACCGCTCCCGATTTCACCAACCTCAGCGCCGGCTTCGTAGTCTCCGATCAGAAACTCAACGAGACCTACAAAAGCGCGAGCTTTACTGTGCGTTTGAGGGACAATGTCACCTGGGATCGGATCCAGGTCCTCGCCGTGTGGGACCTCCCCACCGCCTCCGACTTCGGACACGTGATTCTCGGCGATTTCAGAAGCGGGTCGTCCGACCCGGCTCCTTCACCGTCTCCGTCCAGCGCAACCGGTTCGGGGAACGGGACGGGTCGGGTCCACACCGAGCCGACTATGTTGGAGAACTGTAAGGTATTGTCGAAGAACTATAGGGTTAGATGGACATTGAATTCTGATGAGAATATAATTGATATTGGGTTGGAGGCCGCCACCGGGACTATGAATTACATGGCTTTCGGATGGTCCAGCCCGAACTCGACTTCGGAGCTCATGCTCGGAGCCGATGCCGCCGTCACTGGGTATATCAGTCGTCTGTAACATTCTGGCTCTCAAGCTTTTGGAATCAGCAGAACTCAATTCTTGAGTTGCACTTTAAAATTTGATCTGATATTATTATTTCTTGTTTTATTTTTATTTTCTGGCCTGCAGGCTGCAGTTGTATCTATCTGTCTGTGTTGCATAAACAAATCAACAGTGCGACTTGTCCACCAAAAAAAAAAAAACACACATTTAGTTTAGTAACCATGAGGAAGCGTCTCCTTTGCCGATTGGCTAGTCCCATTGTCTACGTCGGGCGGCGTTGACGATGTTCAGAGGGGCTGCTTCCACCGTAACATCCTGCGAAAATCTTTGGATATTTTGGCATTTCCGAGGTTTTTTTAAAATTCCTTTTTCTTTTTCCGTTTTTCCCCGACGAAGACCCAAAATTCAGCTGCAATGTTCCATATAAGCAATTGGGTTTCATTTTGTTGGGAATTTAGTGTTACAATGTCCGTACACTTCTTTCCAATGTCAAACTATATTCTTTTACGAATTAATTTAGTGTATATTTATATAAAGAACGAAATAACAATCATAAATACGTAAAAAACAATTTTTCTAAAGAAATAGAAAACACCTGGCACACTCTATTTTGTTTCGGATCCAAAAAGAGAAAAAAAGAAAAAAAGTTGTTCCTTGAAATTGAATCAATAAAGAACGTGGCAAACCGCTTTTTGAAAAGCTCACGCACGTCGAGCTCTCTCGGTCTTCTGTTCCAGCCGACCGAGTCACCCCATTTTCCTCTCTCCTTACTCTTTTCACCCAACAGAAAGAAAGCACACAGCTCATCGACGGCAAGCCTCACATCCGCTTTCTCCGACCACCACCAGGTGATTTTATCATCTCCCTCCTCCGCCCTCTCTCTATCCCTTTTTAATCTCTGAATTCATATTAAGAATAGAACCAGTGATTCGGATCCAAACCCACACACAAAAAAGATCCGATCGGATCCGGATCTCGCACCCCTCATGCCTCGCAAACCCAACATCCTAGGGTTTCTCTTCAGCCTCTTCTTCCTCACATTCTGCCATGCCGATCCGGGTTCCAATTGCCCCAAGACCAGCCCTCTCGTCAACTCCGAGTCCGAATTCAAAATGGTACAGCACCAGCTCCGAGGCTCAATTAAGATAATCGACGATTGCTCCTTCAAAGTCTCCGATTTCGACATGCTCCCCGGCTCCGACGTCCACTGGTGGGGCGCCACCGCTCCCGATTTCACCAACCTCAGCGCCGGCTTCGTAGTCTCCGATCAGAAACTCAACGAGACCTACAAAAGCGCGAGCTTTACTGTGCGTTTGAGGGACAATGTCACCTGGGATCGGATCCAGGTCCTCGCCGTGTGGGACCTCCCCACCGCCTCCGACTTCGGACACGTGATTCTCGGCGATTTCAGAAGCGGGTCGTCCGACCCGGCTCCTTCACCGTCTCCGTCCAGCGCAACCGGTTCGGGGAACGGGACGGGTCGGGTCCACACCGAGCCGACTATGTTGGAGAACTGTAAGGTATTGTCGAAGAACTATAGGGTTAGATGGACATTGAATTCTGATGAGAATATAATTGATATTGGGTTGGAGGCCGCCACCGGGACTATGAATTACATGGCTTTCGGATGGTCCAGCCCGAACTCGACTTCGGAGCTCATGCTCGGAGCCGATGTCGCCGTCACTGGGTTTAAAGAGGACGGCATGCCGTTTGTGAATGATTTTTACATCACAAAGTACAGCGAGTGTACGTTGTACAAGGATGGTGAGGTGAAAGGGGTTTGCCCGGATACGAGATACGAAGGGCCCGGCCAGAATAGCGAGGTTAACAATACCAAATTGGTTTATGGGCAGAGGAGGGACGCCGTGTCGTTCATTAGGTACCAGAGGCCGTTGATATCAGACGACAAGAAGTACGATTTGCCGGTGAACCATACAGAGAAAATGACGGTGATTTGGGCGTTGGGGCCAATAAGGCCCCCGGATCTTCTTCAACCACACTATCTTCCTCAAAACCATGGGGGACCAAGGCTTGTGGTTTTTGGGCATTTGGTGCTGAATGTTTCTGAGCACGTGAATGACTGTTTGGGTCCTCTGGATGCAGAAGACAAGGAGGACCAACATCTCATCATCGCCGATGCCAATGCCCCCCTTGTGGTTACTTCTGGCCCGGCATTGCATTATCCAAACCCTCCAAACCCTTCAAAGGTTTTGTACATTAACAAGAAAGAGGCTCCGATGTTGAGAGTGGAACGAGGGGTGCCTGTCAAGTTTTCTATACAAGCAGGGCACGATGTTGCGCTCTACATTACTTCAGACCCGCTTGGTGGGAATGCTACCCTGAGGAATGTGACCGAGACTATTTATGCAGGAGGGCCTAAAGCTCAAGGAGTTCAATCAAGTCCCATGGAATTGGTCTGGCAACCAGATAGGAATACCCCAGACCAAGTGTATTATCAATCTCTTTATGAGCAGAAAATGGGTTATAGAGTGCAGGTAGTTGATGGGGGTCTGCCTGATATGTATAATAACAGTGTTATTTTGGATGATCAGCAAGTTACGTTATTTTGGACATTGTCAGAAAAGTCTATATCTATTGCAGTTCGTGGTGAGAAGAAGAGCGGTTTTTTGGCAATAGGATTTGGCAGGGGAATGGTAAACAGCTATGCGTATGTGGGTTGGATTGATAACATTGGCAAAGGGCGGGTAAACACTTATTGGATTGATGGAAAGGATGCCTCGAGTGTGCATCCAACAAATGAGAATTTGACTTATGTGAGGTGCAGGTCAGAAAATGGCATCATTACATTCGAGTTCACCCGCCCCTTGAATCCATCATGTGGTAAGAGTGATAGACCAGAGTGTAGAAACATAATTGATCGCACTACTCCTCTTAAAGTTATTTGGGCAATGGGTTCTACATGGACAGATGAGCATCTAAGTGAACAAAATATGCATTTTGTTACGAGCAGTAGGCCTATTAGGGTACTTCTTATGCGTGGTTCTGCAGAGGCGGAGCAGGATTTACAGCCGGTATTAGCTGTACATGGATTTATGATGTTTCTCGCTTGGGGTATGTTGCTTCCTGGTGGAATAATGGCGGCTAGATACTTAAAACATGTTAAGGGTGATGGTTGGTACAAGATTCATGTTTATTTGCAGTACTCAGGTTTGGTAATCGTCCTACTTGCCCTTCTTTTTGCTGTTGCTGAACTTCGAGGTTTCTATGTCAGCTCATTGCATGTTAAGTTTGGGATTACTGCGATATTTTTGGCTTGTATACAACCAGTGAATGCATTCCTAAGGCCTAAGAGACCAGCTCATGGAGAGGAGGTTTCCTCTAAAAGGATTCTTTGGGAGTACTTTCATGTGATCGGTGGAAGGTGTGCCTTTGTTGTAGGCATTGCAGCACTGTTCAGTGGAATGAAGCATTTAGGAGATAGATATGACGGTGAAAATGTTCATGGACTTAATTGGGCTTTAATAATTTGGTTCTTGATTGGTGCATTGATAGTTATGTATCTGGAATACCGTGAAAAACAAGCAAGGAGGGATAGAAGTTTTGGAAGAAGCAATTGGGTGCTGGGGAACCTGGAGGAAGATGACTCAGTTGATCTGTTGAGCCCGAACGGAGTGCATGCAGAGAAAGAATCACAAACTTCAGGAAGAATGGAAGTTCAATTAGAGCCTCTGAACAGATAGATAGGTAGATAGATAGTTATTCTTTGATATGAATTTCTACTTTTCACCAATTTTGAGAGTTTTCTCACATATATGGGGAATAGAAAGGCCTGTTTTGCTTGCTTAGTTGCTTCAACGGCCTTTTTGCTTTGTAAGGGAGGTTTACTCGGTGATGACCACCCTCGGCTCCAACCATTCATCTTGAAGACTTTTCACCCCATGCCATGCACTTTGTATACTTGATACATCTTTTTACACAGTATTATCATTTTATCTGTTGCCTCTTTATCAAACAACCGAAGAGTCGGGTTGCGGCGTGGCACAGTACCCTAGGACTTTTAGTTTAGAATTCAGATATGTGAAAGTAATTCTCATGCCTTCGGAAGAAGAGTTTCTAATGGAAAAATGGAAGTGATTTGCACTCACCATACTTGCAATCTGCATCAGATGTTGACTGTTTCTCTTTGGCTATGTTTGTTGTTTTTTGTGTTTCTTTTGAGTCTATCATTGACAATCGAAAAAGGCCTTCTGGCTGGTTAGATGTTGCATTTGATGAATGCGAAGTTGTGTGTTTTGAGGTTCATAAAAAAGAACAAAGCCAAAAGAAAATTCTTTTCTCACGTCTTGATGTTTGCTACATATAAGAGGAGTTGTTTATTTCAAATAAAGATATAATTAGTTTTTTTTAACAGAGTTGACGGTAAAAGGAAAAAACAACTAATACTTAAATATTGTACAATGTATAAATAATATTTTCAAGTAATTGTGTTCACAATTGCGGGGATAGCTCAGTTGGGAGAGCGTCAGACTGAAGATCTGAAGGTCGCGTGTTCGATCCACGCTCACCGCATTCTTTTTGGCAGTTTTCCACTTATTCTTCAGTCCGATATTTTCATATGGGCTTTTTAAGTTAATAGTTTGGGCCTTTCCTTAGCTATTAGAACACTCGTCCATGCGCTGGTGGCTGACTACCAGCCTTTGGATGCAATTGTGAGCCCACTAAATCAATGGTTGAGAATTTCCAACATTCATGTTATCTTGGCAGTCTGGATTTTAGTAATTATTTTTGTTTCGATTGGAAATTAATTTTTGGCTGTACGAGCATTTAAATGTTTTGTTTTGAAAAGTCAACATGAGTTCAAATCCTCACTTGGGTGCTTCCTCTGTATTTATTTTGGGGATAGTTTATTTTATTTTATTTTATTTTTTCAATTTTCCTTTAGAACAAAAACAAACCAGTTCCAGTTTGTTGCAAATGCGATATTTCGATTGGTCATTGCCTAAACGTAAATAAATTTCAGATTCTTTTATCGCTGGCCGTTAGATATATTCCAGTTTAGGATTCAAACAAAATTAAGAAAGTTGATAACTAACGTTCGCATCTGATGTGTGAGTGCATGCACTGCATGAAAATCCACTTGTCAAAATGCACAAAGAACAAAAAAAGAATCCATACGAATTGATGAGCTTTGCCTTCTTTCTTTCCTTCCATTCCATTCCATGCGACCCTTCACACACACACCCCTCAAACATGACGCACAATTTTATATGAAATAAGTTTTCTTTTTTCTTTCTTAAAAGCTCACTGTTTTAGGGTATTTGTAAAGTGCTCCCCAATGTTTTAAGTAATTTATATTTGTCCCTAGGGCTTGTTCATGTTTTTTTTTCTTTGGGTAGTGA